CAATAGGATTAGTTGCATTGGGGCTTACTATCATTGGCTTCATTAAAAACGGCTTGCTGTCCATCTCCAGGAGAGCTCCTCAACCTTTTGTTATATTTTACATCCATTGCTGGTCATGATGCTGAGAATCAAATGAAATGTGTATTACGTTTGGAAGTTATATAAAAAATAATAGATGCTAAATAGTTAAATTAAGATTCACATTTTTTCTTTGGCTTCTTCCTCAGTGGGGGGAAACCTTTTGTCTCTTTTCTATCTCCCAAATTGCTGAACAAGTCAGAAGCCCTGAACTATTCCTAATCTGAAATGAACACTTTTCTTTCTTGTAAACATTTGTCAAGCTATGAATAACTTAGTGTTTCTTTGTGTATGTTAAAACATGATTGCTTTATCTTGATGCACAATCCTCTTGTTCTCAATAAACGAGATCTAATTCTTGCCTGATCTTCAATTCCCCACTCTATCACCTGTAGCCTGTCCTTTACCAACTGGCTCACCCATTATCTCTGGCCTCACTGACTGACATTGGCTCAGATCTTTAACACTCTCCTTTAGACTGTAGCTGTACAGCCTTGGGCATTAGTGAGACCATAGAGTACTGTATAGTTTGGTCTTTTTATTTGGGAAAAAAGATGCAATTGCATCAGCAGCCATTTAGAGAAGGTTTGTTTGATTCATTCCTGACTGAAAAACATATCTTCTAAAGAAAGCTTAAACAGGTTCGGCCTACCTTTCATTGAATACGTACAGTGTGGAAGCAGGTTACTAGGCCCATTGAGTCCACACCAACCCTCCGAACAGCATCCCACCCAGACCCACCCTATCCCTGCATTTCCCATGGCTAATCCCCCTAGACTGCAAATGATGGGCAATTTAGCATAACCAATCCACCTAACCTGTACGTCTTTGGAAACCGGAGCACCTGGAGGAAACCCACACAAGCATAGAGGACGTGCAAATTCCACACGGACAGTCGCATGAGGGTGGAATCAAAGCCAGGTCCCTGGCACTGTGAGGCAGCAGTGCTAACCGCTGAGCCACCATGCCACCAATTTGTCAGTGTTTAGAGGCATGGCAAGTGGTCTATGAAACATAGAAGATCCTGAGGCTACTTGACAGGATGGATACCAGGTGGATGTGGGAGTGACTAGAATTAGGAATACCGTTTTAGAATAAGAGATCTCCCTTTAAAGATGGAAATGAGAATCTTATGTTTCTCTCTGAAGATCATAAGCATACGGAATTTTCTTCCCCAGAAAGCCATGGAGGCAGGGTTATTAAAGTTATTCAAGGCTGAGCTGGACACTTTGATAGACAAGAGAGGTAATGGTTAAATGCTGAGACCACAACCGTATCTGCCACGATATTATTGAATGGTAGAGAAGGTTCAAGGCTTCTTCCTGCATCTAACTCCAATATCCCAAAAACTTAACACTTAATTTTGTGTTTGAATATTTCTACGGCGTGCTCCTCTCTGTGTATGGATCCTTCCCCAGTCACACAATCCGATTCTTGAAATCATGAGTTTTTGTTTTACTCTGGCTGTTTTCTACTTATCCCTGTTCCCAACCTTTCTCCTGCTTTGGCTGTTGCTTTCTTGCTTCAAGACTGACCCCTCCACTTCTTGTCAGCTCCCTCCCCCACCCTCATTCCCCAGACCTCGTCCGCAGCGTCTTTGTCTCTGTGAAGTACCTTGGGACCTTCGCCCCCTGATTCAAAAGATTAGAAATTGAACTTTCCAGGCATTGTCACTGCGGATTTAGTAACTGATGCAAAGCTTTTAGACGTTATGCTGATCCAGTGTTGTGCCTTTCCAATGCTGAAGTTCTTATTGAGCAATGATTTGAAGCCTTTAATATCTTTTATTGCATGAGGAGCCATGAGTTATAATGTACAAGCGAAAGTCTTGATTGGAACAATCATGCTGAACATGCATTCCAGTAATTAGGAATAAAACTCCCAATGCACATTCTGCTTAAGGTCTCAAATACAATCTCTGCTCAGGGCTGTGAGAATATGTTTTCTGATAGTGTCTTAATGCCCTTTGAAGCAATGAATATAGTTACTGTACAAGCGTATGTGTTTTTTTTAAATGCTTTCTGAAGCACAAAATTATTTCTTTGACTAGTCAATACTTGGGGGTGATTTGTTAAACTTTGGTTTTCCCATTGTAACTTGCTGATTCATGAGACTCCTTGTATGATGGGGTTTTGGTGGAAACTATTAAAACACAGTTTGTGAAGGGATTACAGTTGGTTCTGCTATAATCCGTGTTTCTTCAAATTGGCTTTAATGCGATTGAAGAATTTAGACCGCCATTTGTAGAACGTGAACTCACCTTATCTGTATTGGCTATAACGTGATTCTGGCCCTATCAGTTTAAATGGCGCAGCTATTGCGCGATTTTCTGTAACTCGAGATCATACAAGAACAGAACTATCGTGTTATATCAGAATCAACTGTATTTCTGCTGATGACTTGTAACGAGTTAAATTGTCTCAATAATTATAAGCTAAACTTGTTGCTTTGATACTGTAAAGAAATTTGGCTTTTACCTTGAAATATCTTGCTGAATGTTAAATGAATTCAAATGCTGAACAGCTGAAACATTGAGAGTTATCTTCCATTGCTTTGACCTTCTTTTGTTGTTGAAATTCTGTATTGTTTCCAGTTAAAGATTGAATATAATAAACTATTGAACTTTAGAAATGCAGTGAGGGCTAGGTTGTCACATGCTTTAAGTGGTGTGTGTTGTATCTTCATCTTTGGAGTGATTCCCTTTAAACAACTCCAATTACAAATGAGCCAAGTACCTAGAAATTATCATTATGGACCACAGCTGTCTGCATTGTAGCACTTGAAGCATACAGTGTGTTTGCAGAGTCCTCCTTACTGCATATATTAGTTTAGCTGTAAATAAACTCACCAGAGATCTTCAAGTAAACTGAATCTATCATTTGTATTACATTTAGATAACACATATTATTACAAGTGTGAGCATGAGTTGAAGAAAATACACAAGTATACAGTTTATTGCAACTTTTTGGAAATCAGTAAAATTGGTTAGAATATAACTGCTCCTGGATGTGGAAGGTTAGTACTTTAAATATGATTCCATGTTTGTGGATTGGCTGTTTGGTGTGTGTTCCAGTATTCCATTATCAGTACTCTCTCTTTGGGATGAATGATTTTCTACAGCCCTCTGTTGACTGTGGGGCCTGCAAAAAGCCTTATCTCTGAATTCTTTGACTGCGTAAGAGGGAGAAGTAATTGCTTTGAGAGCGTTAAGTGCACAGATGGGAAGACATATGGGTATGTCGGCAGAGTCTGAATGTCAAACAGATGAACAGACCGATGAGTAAGATGTTATGCCTTAATGAAGAACTGCAATATTAGTTGTAAATATCCAAATTTTCTTGTAGCTAAGCCTTTGCTAAATGGCTTAACATGATTTGTTGCCAAGACAAATGATTGATGCAAAATATCATGGATGGTATGAATTTAATAGCAAACAGTGAATAAAATTTTGGCAGTTTGGATATGCTTCATTGCAGTAAAGTACAGTGAAAAATAAATTTGGTTTCTGTCTGCTGTCATTCAAAAGCAACATTGCATTAGCCAGTCAAGATAAGAAAGTAAGCATCTGTTCATTAGTAAGAGAAAGTATATATGAATATGAATGTCTGCTGTTAAGAATGCGTGTATTTAGAATGAGCTTTGAATTAGTGACTGTATTTCTTCCTCTTGAATTGGTAGATAACAGCTTCAAGACCCACATCATGTATCCCATGCAGACAGGAGATCAGAACTGAGGCCTGTGAATACTGGGTTAAATTCCAGTGGGATACCTTTGCAGGAGCAGAGTGAAGCCTCAATCTCTCTTCTCTAAGCTATCATTGTATTTCTCAGCTGTGCTCAAAGCCTGTCTATGTAAAAGGGAAAAGGAGACATTGTCACAGAAATAAGCCAATGTGATCTGCAGGAGGCAAATGCATTTCTTCCATTGTATCGTTGCTTAGCTTGGAAGAGGAAAAAGATGAATGCTTGTGTGGCTCACCGTTAGACTTTGATTTTTTTAATGCTCCTGTAAAGTACCTTGGGACATTTAGTTATATTAAAGGTGCTATACAAAATATATTGTTCAGTTGCAGGCAAAAATGTTGGTCAGAAACTTGTTAGAGTTGTTTATTCACTCAATGTCCAGGGAAGGTAGTGGTCAGACACTCTTTCGACTGCAATCCAGTGATGTACGGCTACATATCTGTTCAGGACCTGCACAATTTTGAACCAGCAACCGTGAAGGGGCAGCGATATATTTCCAAATATGAGCGGTAGATGCTTGAAGGGGAAATTACAGGTGGTGGTGTTCCCATATATCTGCTGCCTTCGCCTTTCTAGGTGGTTCAGCTTGTGAGTTTAGAAGGTGCTGATGGAGGATCCTTGAGTTTTTTCTTTATTCATTAACGGGATGAGGGTGTCGCTGGCTAGGCAGCATTTATTGCCCATCCCTAATTGCCCAGAGGGCAGTTGAGAGTCAACCACATTGCTGTGGGTCTGGAGTCGCATATAGGCCAGACCAGGTAATGATGGCAGTTTCCTTCCCTAAAGGACATGAGTGAACCAGATGGGTTTTTCCCACTGTTTGCTGCAGTACATCTTGTAGCTGGTACACGCTGCTGCTGCGTCTTAATGATGGAACAAGCAAGTGCTTCATGGAAAGGCCACTTTGTCCTGGATAGTATCAAGTTTCTTCAGTGTTGTTGGAGCTAGACTCATTCAGGCAAGTGGAGACTGACTTCTACATTGTGTCTGGTCGACAGAGTTTGTCTACGTTTTAGGTAACTGTTCCTGCTGGGTCTGATTTGTCTTGTTGTATTTTAGTACTTTGAACTGTTTGCTGGCAAAGAGAGTGAGATTTAAAAATGAAATACTATTGCATGCAATTTAAGACTGTTGTAGCAGTTCCAAGCTTGGCATGACTTGAATGTTCCTGTTTGCAGGTGGTGGTTGAACTAGGCCAATTTGAAAAGAAAGCAGTCAAAAGTGAGAACAAGCACAAAGATGGACTGGAGGTTTGGAATCACGTGAAAGAAACAAATGGTTTGTTGAACATCGCAGAGAAATATTCAGACGTGGGCATCCAACATCCCATTATTGTCTGGTGGTCTCCATTGACTGGTGAATTGGGCCGAATAGGTCGGTGTGGAGCAGATACCTGTTACTTTACCATAAATAAGACTTACCAAGATCATCAGATGACGAGAGCGTTCCTCTTTTATGGTGAGTTTTCATTCAGTTCCTGGTCTGCCTTGAGAATTTGAGGTACGTGCATATAAACCGTACAAGGACGGAGATGTGTGGTAAAGGATATAGGAGCTGAATACCAAAATTAATAAATATTAACAGTTCAGCATATCGTGACAAGCTGGCTGATAAAGAATTGTCTAGCCAGCTTCCCACTTAGATCCACAGCTTTGTAGATTACGGCAGCTCAAATATATGTTCAAGAACATTTCAAACGTTACCAGATTTCTCCCGTTCTTTCAGAAAATGCATTCTAGATCACAATGTCCCTCTGGGGGAAATAATTAACTTTTGAAACACTACTAATGCTCTTTCACGTCAAAAAAAAATTTATGCTCATTCCCTCCCCCCCCCCCCCCCCCCACTCTAATGGATCCCTTATCCAAGGTAAATTTTAAAGGCTTTATTGAACACCATTACTGGAAGGAATTTGGAAATATGGCAATGATAAGGTAAGGATTCAGTAGGATGATAACAAGAATGAGAGTTTCGAATTACGAAGAAACATTTTGGACAATTGGGATTCTTACCCAACCCCCTCACCCTGGAAGCAGAAGTTTAAAAGGAAATCCAATAGACATATTCATCCCTTTGGAATATTTTACAATATTAGTAATGTTTGAGAAATATAAGCTATTGTTAACAAGTGTAAGATTGCTAACGCTAATTGGTAAATGGAGGTTGAAACTCTGACTATCGTGAAAAGATTGGAAAGGGAGCTTGAACATTTTTTTGAAGAAGGTTATTAAAATATACAGTGCTTTATGATTAATTTTAAGTCTGTTTGATGAATTTTTAACTCCATTCACCTGCCTCGGCTCTATATCGTTTAATACCTTTGGCGAGGAAAAACTCTTATTAATCTTGCTGAATTCTGGAACAAGTACAAGAGCCTCAATGAATTGAATTAGCTTAATGTAACGTACTCACTCATTACTTGTACTCAAGATTACAAGTCACCTCTTATGGCGCCATTTTAGGTACAAAGAAACCTAGGTACAGAATCTTGGTACAAAGCAGAAAAATAAAGGAAACAAAGTTTAAAAAGTTAAACATTACAGTCCTCCTTACTAAAAAGTGAAAAGGCAAAGAAACACAGTTAGCAGTTCAACACCGCATTCTATAAGCACCTTGCCATGCTGGGCTGATACACTCCTTGCAAGGGCTCGACCTACCCTGCTTCGGGTTTGACCCCGCCCCTGCTGCTTTGCAGCTTATTCCTGCTACCGCTGGCTGCCCTGGGCTGCCGTCCCCCGCGCCCCCCCCCCGCCCCCCGGCTGGCTGCCCCAGGCTGCTGCCCCCTCCAACCCTCCCTCTGCCGGCCGCCCCAGGCTGACTGACCCACCTCTTGCCTACACCTGTCCCTACAGACTTTTATTGCCTTAGAAATCTCGATGATCAGATTGGTGAGGGGGTTGGATGGTCTTCGGAGGGGCGGTATGGACCTGATGGGCCAAATGGTCTCTTTCTGCAGTCTAAGGATTCTATGATTCAGATGAACCTCCAAGTCTCTTTGGATATCCACTGTATTTAACTTCATTGATACTCCCGACTGAGATACTTTTAGAAGAAAATTCCGAACAATCCATGAGGAGCGATGTCAAGATTCCTGTTAATGAGTGAGGAAACGATGGCAGGTACCAGTATATAAGGATGTAATAACTGAGCATTTAGAAATGCATAATGAAATTAAGCAGAGTTAACATGACTTCATGAAGGGGAAATCATGCCCCTCAAATTTGAGAGTTATTTGAGAAAGCAACAAGCTGGATAGATAAGGGGGAATAGATGCAATATATTTGGATTTCCGAAAGGTGTTTAAAAAGGTAAGACATAGTAAAATACTTACTAAGAGCCCATTGTGATGGGGACAGCATACTAGCATGGATAGAGGATTTTCTAACTGAGAACAGAGTGAGTTGGGAAAAAGGGAACATTTTCCGGCTGTAAACCTGTAAGTAGCGGAGTGCCACAGGGATTGATACTGGACTACAATTATTTACAATATATAATAATGACTTGGCTGAGGCAAGTAAATGTACTTTTCCTGTGTTTGCAGATGATGCTAATTTAGATGGGAAGGCGAGTAGTGAGGATGACACGAGGAATCTACAGAATGATACAGACAGATTGGATGAGTGGGCAAAACTTGGCAGATGGAAAATAATGTGGGAAAATGTGAGGCTATGTACTTTGTCAGGAAGAATGGAGAGCTGAATATTATTTAAATGGTGAAATACGGCAGAAGGCAGCAGCACAGAGGATGTAGGTGTCTTTGTGTGTCAATCACAAAAAGCTGGCATTGAAATTTAGCAAGTAATCAGGAAGGTGAATGGACCATTGGCCTTTATTTCAAGGGAAGGGAGTATGAAAGTTGGGAGGTCTTGCTAAAACTGTACAAATTTTACTCGTGAATCCATACCATGGAATACAGTGAACAATTTTGTTCCCGTTATCTAAGAAAAAATATACTGCAATTGGAGGCAGTCCAGAGGAGTTTCATTAGGTTGATCCTGCATATGGAGGGATTTTCTTATGAGGAGAGGTTGATTAGATATAGTCTGTTTCCAATGAAATTTAAAAGAATGAGAGGAAATCTTCTTGAGATATACAAGATTCTTGGGTTTGGTGGAGTAGATGCAGAGAGGTTGTTTCCCCCTTGTGGGAGAGTCCAGGACCTGATGGCATAATCTCAGAGTAAGGTATCAGTCACCCATTTAGGACAGAAATGCGTAGGAATTATTTTTCACTGAAGGTAGTAAAACTGGAAGGCTGAGATAGACAAATTTTTAATCGATAATGAAATCAAGGATTATGGAGATAAGGCAGGCAAGTGGAGTTGAGGATTATCAGATCAGTCATAATCTCATTGAATGGCAGAGCAGAGACATTGGGCTGACGGGTAACGTCTGTTTTTATGTCTTATGGTTTTAATGTTTTATGCTCGTAAATTTCCTCTAACTCTCTAGTGCAATTATATTCTTTCTGTCAAACTTTGACCAGAACTGTGCACAATACTCAAGTTGTCACTTAACAATTTATATAGTTCTACCATAACTTCCCTGCTTTTATATTCTATACCTCCATGAATAAAAGTGGCATTCCATATGGTTTCTAAACCACCTTATTAACCTGACCTACTACCCTCAGGGACCTTTGGACATTTTCTCTAAGGTCCCTCTCTTCCTTCACAGCTCTGTGTTCTCTTAATTATTGAGTCTACCTTCCCTTCGTATGATCTTCCCATGACATCATCTCATACTGTCCAGGTTGACTTCTATATGTTACCTGTCTGCCTACGTGCCCCCAGTCCATTCATACCTTCCTGCACTCTAAAGGTATTCTCCTCATTAACAACTATGTAGCCAAATTTTGTGCTGTCTGAAACTGGGACAGCACAGTGGCTCAGTGGTTAGCACTGCTGCCTGACAGTGCCAGGACCCAGGTTCAGTTCCAGCCTTGGGCGACTGCCTGTGTGGTGTTTGCACATTCTCCCCCTATCTGCGTGGGTTTCCTCCCACAGTCCAAAGATGTGCAGGTTAGGGTGGATTGGCCATGCTAAATTGCCCAGAGCAGCCAGGGATGAGCAGGCTAGGTGAGTTAGCCTTGGGAAATGCGGGGTTACAGGGTTGGACGGTGCTTCTGGGTGGGATGCTCTTTGGAGGGTTGGTGTGAACTCAGTGGGCTGAATGGTCTGCTTCCACAGTGTAGGGATTCTGTGATTCTGACTGCTTGATCATGCCCCTTACAGCAATGTCCTAATTGTTATATTGTACCACAACATGTAAGGGACCTCATATTGAGCGCTGCAAAGCTGCTGGAAACAGCCTTCCAGGTACAAAAGCATCCGTTAACAATTGCCCCTTGTTTCCTGCTGCTGTGTCAATTTTGTAAGCTTGTTCAGTTTCCCTGGATCCGATGGGCTTTTTCTTAACCAGATTATGGAGCTCTGTCAAAGGCTGTACTCAAATCCCTAAGACCACATCGACAGCATTACCCTCGTCAATCCTCCTTACTCAAAAGAAAATTCAATCATTCTCATCACGCGCAATCTTTCCTTAATATTTCCATTCTAACCAAAGGCAGTGTGGAGCCTTAATACAGGTATAATTCTGTTACCATTTTGCTATGCTGTACAGGATATGGAATTCTGTTTCGTTCCTGCTCTCTACAGTTTATACCAAAAGCAACCTTTTCATTTGGCATTTGTCTTGGTGGGGGTGGGGATGGGGATGGGGATGGGGATGGGGGTGGGGGAGGGGGAGTCCACCTCTCGCGCATTCCTTCTAATATTCATCGCTTGGCTTCCAGAGATAAGTGTTCAAGACTACTGACAAGGTGGCAAGCGAAAAGTCAGATATCTATGACCCAAACAGTGTAGCACTTAGCAAAGCAAGGAGAGCACAAATGCTACTGTTTAGGTCACAGTTGTCTGTAATGCAGAACAGTAAGATATGACAGGCAGGATTCATGTCAAGGAGAAGTGTTTGGGTGTCTGCTCATAATCTTAAATCTTGATGTAGAGGTGTTGCTGTTGGACTGGACAAAGTCAAAAGTTGCACGACACCAGGTTATAGTCGAACAGGTTTATTTGAAATCACGAGCTTTTGGAGCGATGTCAACCCGGTGTCGTGTGACTTTTGACTTTATACATCTTGGAAGTGCTCTTGAGCAGCATTACTATTTCCAAGTTTACCATCCACTCTATTGAGTGAAAGATTGGTTATTCATAAGAGAGCCTACAAATTATTACTAATATCGTGGAGAGGCTGATACCTGTACCATGATGTTTCAGATGATCATACGCATTCTTATAATGTCTTGGCTTGATCACTGTGCTGTCAGCTCACCCAACTGGGAGGCAAAGTGTCCCAACCAGTCCTCAGACCCTGGCAAAAGAAGGGAAAAACTAAGGGTTTCTGCTGCTGATAGACAGAAATCACTGCTTTAGTAACACTTATTCTCAGGGTGAGTGT